CCGTGCAGGCTTATGTTTATGATTAATTTATAAGGTATAGGTAAAAATATAACAATATTTACAATTTTCTGAATGTACACATGATATTTATTAAAAACGAGTTTGGAACCTGGATGAAACTTTAGTCGCTTTAGTCAATAGTAATTTTGAGTTACTTTTTAATTTGGGGATAAAATAAACGATAGAATAAAACAATTATATGAGACGCATTTCACGTAAACGCTCAATTACACGGACACAGGCGTGTATAGAGTTTAAAAAGTCTGGACATTCCTAATTCAGCTATGTGCTCTTTTAATTAATGACATAATAGCCTACTAGACTGTATCCTCGATAATGATTTTTTGAATAACGAATATGACGACTCGAAACCAAAATAACTGATCCAGATGTATAGGCGATAATTATAATTCATACGGAAGACCTCCTTAGCTCATATTACCATGCATGTTATTTATCTTACTAATTATCGCAATTATCGCCGCATGCCACTCAAATACGAAAGCAAAATTGATTTCTGACACAGAGCCATGTATACTTACCAACACTCGTAGAATAACATCCAATATAGATATGCACTGCAGCAGTTATCAAACCTGATTCCTGAATTGAATAATGTTGTCTGAAGAATATCCTCTAACTCTCACCAAACATTGGGAGAATAATGCGAGGATCAAACAATGTCATAATCCAGTCATGCTCTGTTATGTCTGACAGCGAATGATCTTGTCAAAATCGTATCGTTTTCCCGCTAGCACGAATTCAACTTCTTTCCTGTTTCCAAGCAGACGACATTGACTAGTCTCAATCCCCGTTTCCACTAGAAAAATGTTGTGTTTTGTTAGTCTGTGCTCGGTGAGTCCGGTCTCATTATATTTTCATTATACTATTTTAATATTTGTCTGCGATCAAAATACATATATAATCCGATATAATGTCATGAACAAGAACGGATAAGAATGACAAATCCTAATCTTTGTAATAGAATTATTTTTTTAGGTCTGATAAGTGTAAACTAACTCTACATTGTTTGGCTTCTACGCAGTCACCGGATAGCCACAGCCGGATATCCATGATAAATTACCCGACTATAGGCGTGAACATTCATATCAAAAGACTTTAAAAAGAAGAAAAGAATCGTGGGATAAAATCATGTGACCTACAGACAGTCATTTAACGTCAAGTAGGCCTATACATATATACAAAATAGCCATCCTCGCTCCTTTTTGTTTTGTATGTGATGCCCGTGTTGGCTCTCACACTCACACATACACTCATCTCTCTTCCTTTTCTCTCTGCCCCCCCCCCCCCCCCCTCTCTCTCTCTCTCTCTCTCTCTCTATCTGACCCGTCATACCGAACAAAGCTTTTTCTCATAATCATATCACAGTGGTTTCGAAAGCAAGGACCTCGCATTGTCATGCTCGTTATATGCGAGGTCATTATTGTACTGGCGGAAAATCCGTTTTACTCTCTCTATAGCTCAATAGATAATGCTTCTTCCGAATCGATAAATACAGAAATAGATAAGAAGTGCTGCTTCAAGATTCATTGTATATTTAAGATTCACGTTTTTTAGCAAACACAAGCCGCATAAAAGAAAACTATGTTAGCTAATATATATTTTCAAAAAGTATGAAAGTTATCTGATTAGCAAGTTGTCTATCTAGTGTGTCACTTTGTCAAAATATACATGGCTGAAATAATAATAAAGTATTCGAGTCTCCCTAGAGACTCCAAGGAAGGAAGGAAAGACACGCCGGTGCAGTTGTTGTTAACACAACCATAATAACCATGCCATTTTCCTTTATATCCTTTTACATCTACAATTTTGTTGTGACATATTTCGTGTTTTGTCACCCTCCCCATAGAATGCTTAAACATAGATAAACACGAAGATATGGGAGGGGGAGAGAGGAGAGGGACAGGGTAGTGGAGTGAAAAGATGGATGACACGACCCCTTTACAATCATACTCGTATGTTGTGCCCCCACCCCCACCCCTCCCCCCCTTCTAGATAAAATGGATCGCGCTGCGCCACTGGTTTCAAGCGATGTAGAAATCACGTACCTTGCTACAGAAAGAAGAAAAAATCATCACATAATAAAACAGCACAACAGAATATCTACACTTACCTAAAAATGTATGATGATATTAGTTACTTGATTCCAAGTGGCGAGCTTATCCTTAAACATGCAATTTGTTATATAATTATGGACAGTGTTTCAGTCTTGCCTTCGACCGACCACTGTATCATTAAAAACAAACGAGCATCGTCATTGTGGGAATCTGACATCATTTCACGTGTTTATGTATTATTTAACAAAAACAAGTTAGTTGTACACTAAGTCACAATCAATTTTGTCGATCAAAATAATTGAGGACAATTTATCAAATTTTATAAAGCTTCCATGAAAAACAAATCGAACTTTCCAAAAACCTATTCGTAATATATTTAAAAGAGAGTGTGCACCATTATATATGTTATCACTCAAAATGCTCTCTTGCATTATTATTACCCCCCCCCCCCTCTCTCCTCTCTCTTTCTCTTTCTCTCTCTCTCTCTCTCTCTCTCTCTCTCTCTCTCTCTCTCTCTCTCTCTCTCTCTCTCTCTCTCTCCCTGATTGCCGCAGTGGGAAAGTTTCTAGTCATAAAATGAATGGTTTTGTTCGGAACACAATTTATTCTTCTCTGATCCACACCAATAACGCTCCTCTCATTGCGGACACCATAATATCCGTGCATCTCAGAATATCTTTATCAAGATATACACCATCACAAACAAATTATAGGATACGGATGGGAGTGAGGCTTTCATACAAAGTATTGTTGAGTGGCGAGTAAGTGAGCCGAAGCCAAGCTTTCAGAGAAAGGTTAGGGATTTATATATTACTCATCTAAGTCTCTCCAAGGATGACTAAGATTTAGACCATATCATGAGTGTAAACATAACAATTATATGCATCATAGATTGCGGTATGATTGTAACACGGATGAATAATATATCTGTAAAAAGCGCTTAGAGACATTGTTAGTGTTTGAAGCGCTATATGAATTAAAACAATTATTATTAATAGTAGTAGTAGTAGCAGAAGTAGTGGTAGAAGAAGTATAGTAAAAGTAGTAGTAGTAGTAGCAGTAGTAGTAGTAGTAGTAGTAGTAGTAGTAGTAGTAGTAGTAGTAGTAGTAATAGTAGTAGTAGTAGTAGAAGGTGTAATAGTAGAAGTAGTCAGGGGCGGCGATCCCGGGGGACGGGGGACACGCCCACCCCTCAATTTGTTAGGCCCCCCCCCCCCCAAGAAATTTTAAAAAGTGCAAACAAAAAATGTATAGCAAATACTGGCTAAAGACTGCAACACACTTTTAGGCTCTGGAAGGCCCAAGAGTGTAGCGTTATAGGTAAGACCAGTTTTGGAAACGCCCCCCTCACACAAAATGAAATGGAAGCTCTTATTACCAATCATGTGAAAGAATATGTTTTGACTAATACGTGATGGTACAAATTTTGCCGAGAAACCGCCTGCTATTAGATATATTTTGTAAATTATTATATCTATCTGGACCGGAAAGATATCGCGCACATGATGCGTAGTCTAATAAACATATTTCTGTGTACAGTGCTTGTAACTTTACCAAGACTGGGTCAAATTTCTTATCATTTTGATGGTTCCAGAACCTTGCAGTACACACCAATAATTATATGCTAGATGATCATCCTTTTTTGAGCGATTCCACAACGTTTCTTTCACAATGCAATCGCATGACCAGAACTGGTCTTTATCTTTAAGACTAATACAAAAGCAAAAAATCTTCTTGCTCGGTCGGTACGCTCCCTCGCATAATTTTCTGTAAATGTACAAGTAAATATTGTAGAAAATCTGTATTCCGTTTCAATAATATAGTTTTGCTAAGGAATGTAATCTTTTAATACAACAAAAACCTGTGAGGGGTAGTCACTTTCATCAGCTTCGCCCCTCTCGTTCACTATGCTCCCTCGTCACTCGCATTTCGTCCCCCCCCCCCCCCCCCGGTCATGAAAAGAAATCGCCACCCCTGATAGGAGTAATATCGTCATCATTGATATTCGTCATACCGTGACGTCAGACGTTCACATACTTAACATTGACAACAGATAAACAGAGGGTCGAAATTCTCTACGACCAGGTGGGAGGGGCTGAATAAAGCTGGCCAAAGCGGATCCGGGATTTGACGAAATGGATGCCCAGAATAATTGAAAAACGCTATCCATTGCATTTAACTGGGTATTTTCTTTGTATCTTTTTTTTTACAAATCTTTTATCTCTCTCTCTCTCTCTCTCTCTTGAAGGACCAGCCTCACAAACATTTTGCTTTTTTTAACTGCCCTTTCCATATATATTATTATTTGTACAGTTTTTTTTTAACGGTTATGGTTAAATAAAAACCCGACAGAACTCCCATATTTTTTTTAATGGCCAACCAAATTTCCATTATACCGTTCTGTAAAATGTATACTGTATTATATCATGTTTACTTTTTAACTCGTATCTATATATTACATGTATTTACCATGTATTTTAATGTATTTGCTGGAAGTGGAATAAACGAATTTAATTTAATTTAATCTAATCAAAATATCTTGAATCAGTCTCCGATTCTGCACTCTCTCTCTCTCTCTCTCTCTCTCTTTCTCTCACACTCTACATTCCTCTCTTATGTTATATGTTTCATTGTATAAATCTCTCTGTTTATTTTACTCAATAATGACAATGATATTTAAAGTACATTTCATAGAATTCGGGGCAGCGTTTCATGAAACGGTCATTTGCAAGTTCGCCTACAACCCATTACAACGTTTGTATTAAGCGTGTGTTTCAATGGTATGTCAGGGAACTTTTAGTTATGACGTTTTCATAAAACCATGCCCAGCTCTTGAATCTGATTTTTAGATACAAACCTTATCGATGCAATTCATTTCAAAACGAACAAAGCACAATGCAAATACACACAAATAGTCATATGTAAAATTGGGCAATATTACAATGAATCTTTTAATTCTTTTTTGTTTGAATCTTCATTCAGGCGAAAATTACTTGATCATAATTATACACTTCTATACACCCAAGACATGGCCTACATGTCCAATGTACTGATGAGCTTCAATCTAAATTCACCGTCTTTACATGCATTCATTGCATTGTCCAAAAACTTCAGTTAAACCAATTCTCTGCTATTAATTGATTTATATAAACAATAAAAACAAATCTATCTTTTATTGAGAAAAGTGGCATTATATTGTTGTGCATCTACTCCATAAAATCTGTGACATATACGAAAATGTTTGAAAAGATGACAGAAAAACTCACACACATAGAGCTGTAACGTGACCAATAAAAGAATAAATAATCATATATTCAGAGTGAGTTTGGCATGAGCACACAGATGTCTGCCAATTTTTCCAGTTTGAGTATGAGCTAGAATTAACATGGAAAAAGATCAGAAGACACATAAATTTGTGTAATAATTATAAAGGCAGTACGGAGTCTTATTAAAGGGTCATTTCATTTACTAATATAATCCAACAAAATGCTAATTTGTTTTTCTTTTTCACATCTATTATATAATATAACATGAGAATTATAATCTAGACTAATAATAATAACAATAATAATAATATTAATAATAAACTACACATGAGATGTAATATAATGGAAGGGAAGTAAAAATTGGGCAAGCTTCTTTATAGTTTATATTTTGCATAATAAATAACCATTCTAAAAATGTAATGGGAAGATATCACCCTATGATAAAACTATTTTATCCCTACCAAGAACATAACATGCCTCACTAAAAACAGTGGTGGCAGTGTTCATAAATCTATTAATAAATCTATACATATGGAAAATTAGATATAAATATAACATAACTAAAATGACATATGATATCTCTAATAATATATCTGTTTGGAGTCAGAATGGCATTAAGTCTGTTAAAGTCTATGACTTAATCACCTTCAGGCCCCAGACAGAATATATCATGAATAAGATATATACAATAAATCAATTCTATTTGTGAAACATGAAAAACAGACATCCAAAGACTACACATGTTCTATTATTCTGGCAGTATAGGGATATGTCAATGTCAACTGAAAATCCTACAGATAGTCCAATTAAAAACCTGGATGTTTTCTTTGGAAAAAGTAAATAGGTTTCTACACGGCAAGTTAAAATGATACATAAGATATATAGACAAAACATATTATTGCACTACAAAACTTCTTCAACAAAAACAACAATAATGCCAATCAAAAGATGTGAGCATCATGAAGCAGATACATCATGATTTCATATCTTTTTTTGCTATAAAAGTACATTCAATAGAATGCAAGCACCTTACGTTACACACTCAATTAAAAACAAAACATACAAAAAAAGCTCATCTCATCCTATCCCTCTGAGATATCATAGATACATACATGTCTGAATAGTACGCTACCTTCACTCAATCTTGTATAAAAACACACATGATAAACAGACTGATTATCTCGACTACTGGTGGATTGTACTTATTGCTAATTAACACGCTTTCCTCATGATATCATGAATGAAATTTATCAAATTTGTTACAAAAGTAAACAGCTGAAAAGGAGGAAAAGAGCTGCTATGATTGCACTATATTAACATTAGCCTTATTTCTAAATATGAAATATATCTTAAGAGTTTTGAGAGTGGAAGATTAAGGTAGTTGAGTTGTGTTTAGGTTTGATAATAAACAGTGAGATATCAACATCACCACAATATCAAGTGCTAATCTGAAATCGATGAAGAATTTGAGAACAACTTAAAAAGTGAACTGAAGCCATGAGTGATGCTCTCATCTTGTAAACTGTAGCATGTTGTAGGTCAAACATTGTCATAAATAATGTCTTTTCAGGTTATTTTCTCTTGCTAGAGTTAAATATTTACTTGTGAGATATGCAATACGGTAGTAAAAAATTAAATATATATGAAAAATCTAGCGTTCTGAAAAAGAAATTATCCAATCACAGTTTAAGGAAAAAAGAATTCACCTTTAAAGAAACTAACAATAATTTTTTTTTGGTACAGGAAGAAAATTCAGTTATTTAGTATCTCAGAAATATTCAATTATTTATACAGTTTATATTATATTTTAAACAATTCTGCATGCATTATAATACATAGCAAAATTACAAAAGATATCATCTTTCAATGTCATCTCATTTATAACGTATCACTCAAAATAGATTATAACAATCTAACTCTATCAAATACATCATTCAAATATAAATTACAATTTTTTTCAATCTTCACACAATTATTTACAGTCATGCATCACAATTTTTCCTGTATTTCTTTTTGAAAGAAAAAGCAGCAAAATATGCTTTTTCATATAGTGTGATAAATATCTTACTCTCTCTGCATGAGCTAATATCTACTCATGCATTTATTAAATATCTATTTTATGTGAAAGTGCATTCAACAATCCAGACAAATACAATTTTTTGTTACTGTTTCTTGATGCTCTTCATCATTCATTATTCATTAGATTACATACTTTCTCTTTATTATTATAATTGTAGTACTGATACCATGCCATGTAAGACTCAATCAGAGCATTACAATTAATTAGTTCACAATAAGTTTACAAACCCATCTTTCAGTAATAACTGTTTCCAATTTATTCAGATAAAATGAAGGCATTGTCCTTTATGATGCATGTGCACTAAAAGTGGTATGACAGACCCAGGGACATTTGATGACAAAGCATGTAAGACAAATCTGAATAGTTGAATTCCTTTAAAAAATACAGTTTATATTTTAATAACCCATAATTTACAAAGATAAATACCTCTACTTAAATAGTCATATAAACAAGGTTTTTTCCTCTTTGTATAGCTTACATATACATAGCTACAGTGAATTCAGATCTTTCCTCAACACTAAATATAAGCCGACAGGATTCTTGAAAAAATAGTTCTTGAATAAATGAAGACAAAATACATTAATAAATAGTTTAAATGGTGTTTTAAGGAAGTCATATTAAAAAACGATTGTTATCTTAACTTGTTGATGATGCTGTTTAGCACACACATTTGTTAGCCTCTGTCCCTAGTCAGATAATGGGTTTGTTACCCTTCTCTCCATTGCAGCAGGGATGTCCATGTATTGTGCTGTGTTGACTTGGAAAGCCTGTTACACATCATGGGATAGAACATACTATTTCTGTTTCCCTTCTTAACATGGGAAAACTAAAAGAGATTTATGTAACTCCATAGCAAACAATGAATAATTATGTTTTAAATTATATTTTGAGTGAACAAGTTATAGTGAAACACTGTATAACAAAACACATATTAGGCTTCATTTCATACAAGGCATTTGATAAACCATTCAACATTATATTAGCCCAAACCTTTGTGACTGGGTGAGGCTTAGTGGGAGTTGGTACTGAAAGTGAAGTGAAAGGACCATTGGAACTGAAACACACATCTCTGCTTTCCCTTCCCAAATCAAGTTTCTATACTGGTGTACATGCTTCATGAGCCTATTTCAAAATGTAGTTATTATATTTGTGTTTTGTTATACAATGTTTCTTTATACAGTGTTGTTTTCTTCACATTAGAATATGCCATCTATCTCCAGAAGAGCCATCAGGCAACAGTAAAATGAAGTAGAAAAGAAGGTGTGTTTAGGCGGTGGGTTTGTTGAGATGACGGTATAGCGATTGTACATACGTGAAGACACACTTCCAATCAGGAGCATTCTTCATCATGATCATATCATCTGTGTCTAGAAGAGGCATGATGTCCGCTTGCTCCCTGAAAGATGGAAAAGAGAAACAAGAGTTACAAATTGAAAGAACACATATGAATATACATTAGGCTTGCGAGTGCACCATGTGAGAGAGAGAGAGAGAGAGAGAATTGAGGAGTCCTGAAAAGAACTCTCGGTAATCTTTCTTGAGGGTGTGTAGTCCTGAAAAATCCTGAATAATGATCCAAGACCCTGTCTTATAGAGAGTTGCGATTGATCCAAATCAATAGCAAGTCCTCCAATCAATAGCAAGTCCTCCAATCAATCGCAAGTCCTCCAATCAATAGCAAGTCCTCCAATCAATAGCAAGTCCTCCAATCAATCGCAAGTCCTCCAATCAATAGCAAGTCCTCCAATCAATAGCAAGTCCTCCAATCAATCGCAAGTCCTCCAATCAATCGCAAGTCCTCCAATCAATCGCAAGTCCTCCAATCAATAGCAAGTCCTCCAATCAATAGCAAGTCCTCCTAGCAAGTCCTCCAATCAATCGCAAGTCCTCCAATCAATGAGCAAGTCCTCCAATCAATAGCAAGTCCTCCAATCAATCGCAAGTCCTCCAATCAATCGCAAGTCCTCCAATCAATCGCAAGTCCTCCAATCAATAGCAAGTCCTCCTAGCAAGTCCTCCAATCAATAGCAAGTCCTCCAATCAATAGCAAGTCCTCCAATCAATCGCAAGTCCTCCAATCAATCGCAAGTCCTCCAATCAATAGCAAGTCCTCCAATCAAAAGCAAGTCCTCCAATCAATCGCAAGTCCTCCAATCAATCGCAAGTCCTCCAATCAATAGCAAGTCCTCCAATCAATAGCAAGTCCTCCAATCAATCGCAAGTCCTCCAATCAATCGCAAGTCCTCCAATCAATAGCAAGTCCTTCAATCAATAGCAAGTCCTCCAATCAATCGCAAGTCCTCCAATCAATCGCAAGTCCTCCAATCAATAGCAAGTCCTCCAATCAATAGCAAGTCCTCCAATCAATAGCAAGTCCTCCAATCAATCGCAAGTCCTCCAATCAATCGCAAGTCCTCCAATCAATCGCAAGTCCTCCAATCAATAGCAAGTCCTCCAATCAATAGCAAGTCCTCCAATCAATCGCAAGTCCTCCAATCAATCGCAAGTCCTCCAATCGATAGCAAGTCCTCCAATCAATAGCAAGTCCTCCAATCAATCCCAAGTCCTCCAATCAATAGCAAGTCCTCCAATCAATCGCAAGTCCTCCAATCAATCGCAAGTCCTCCAATCAATAGCAAGTCCTCCAATCAATAGCAAGTCCTCCAATCAATTGCAAGTCCTCCAATCAATCGCAAGTCCTCCAATCAATAGCAAGTCCTCCAATCAATAGCAAGTCCTCCAATCAATAGCAAGTCCTCCTAGCAAGTCCTCCAATCAATCGCAAGTCCTCCAATCAATAGCAAGTCCTCCAATCAATAGCAAGTCCTCCAATCAATAGGAAGTCCTCCAATCAATAGCAAGTCGTCCAATCGATAGCAAGTCCTCCAATCAATAGCAAGTCCTCCAATCAATAGCAAGTCCTCCAATCAATAGCAAGTCCTCCAATCAATCGCAAGTCCTCCAATCAATAGCAAGTCCTCCAATCAATCGCAAGTCCTCCAATCAATCGCAAGTCCTCCAATCAATAGCAAGTCCTCCAATCAATCGCAAGTCCTCCAATCAATAGCAAGTCCTCCAATCAATCGCAAGTCCTCCAATCAATCGCTCGTTTGCAGTCTCACCTCTGTCTAATACATACATAGTTGCAAGTCCTCCAATCAATAGCAAGTCCTCCAATCAATCGCAAGTCCTCCAATCAATAGCAAGTCCTCCAATCAATCGCAATTCCTCCAATCAATCGCTCGTTTGCAGTCTCACCTCTGTCTAATACATACATAGTTGCAATTGATATCGATCGCAAATAAATTGTAATTGATATTAACTGATTTTAAGATGGGCCCAGAATGGATTAATTAACGACAGTACCTATAAACAATGTTTGAGATTGCAATGAAGACATTGCAAATATACTATTTTTGTTCAGTAATAATATATGTGGTTGAACTCTGAACAAATCTATCTTTAACTGCAAGTGAAAAAATATATAACAGACATTCTCAGGCATTACAATTGTGAAGTATATCAAATAAGAAAGTTCACACACTTTTTGGCTGGTTACATGTCTTGCCTAATACTACACCTTAACCTAATCCTAACCATAAACCTAACCTAATACCTAATTTCCACCCTTACGCTAATCCTATACTTTTGACAAATTAAAGCCTGAAACAATTGTTGCCGGAGCAAATGTTTTAGCATCTTCTTCCCCAGAACCTAAAAGCTATATTCATCACATATCAACCATAAAATACCACTTAATCTGGTCAGCTGATAATGTTACACATGTTCTACTCTAGCCATTCATGAATAAATCTTTAAAATATGGTGAATATAGAGAGAATCCGTGATTCTTACATGGATGAATGAACCAATAGCGAAACAAAAATGAATAACAGTTGCAGATCTTCCTACATGATAATACCAGACTGACTTACTCTGCTGTGTTGAAGGCCAAGTCAAAGTTTTTTCTCCTCTTTTTGGGGTCTAGAGTGTTGAAATCAAACGAGTCTGGATAGTAATGATGAATGAGTGCACAGAATGCCATTCCATCGCACCATGATGAGGAGAAATTGGTTACGTTCACTCCCTGTTGGATTAAAAATGATAGGAACATTTGGATTTAATTGGACTTCATAATATTCAGTTAAATTTCATATAGCTTTACTTTTCAACATTTAACAATTCAAGTAGAGATACGGTCTATTTGACAGATTCAGCAAATGAGATATGTGATAAGAAGAAAAGTAGTTTTGGAGAATCTGGCATTGACTAGAAAGATTGAGGGAAAGAGGAGTAGAGGAAGGAGAAGACTGCTATGGTTGGATAGTCTGCAGAGATGGCTTGAGGAGGGAGGATTGAAAGACCAGGGTATAGAGCTCTTAGTGAAGGCTAGAAATAGAGAGCTGTGGAATAGCAGGATCCCCAAGGTTGATAGATACGGTACCGAGAGGGAGACACAGAGAGAGAGAGAGAGAGAGATAGAGGGGGAGAGAGGGGGAGAGAGAGAGAGAGGGGGAGAGGGAGAGAGAGAGAGAGATAGATAGAGGGAGAGAGAGAGATAGAGGGAGAGACGGAGAGAGAGAGAGAGAGAGGGGGGGAGAGAGAGGGAGAGAGGGGGAGAAAGGGAGAAAGGAGAGAAAGGGAGAGAGAGAGATAAAGGGAGAGAGAGAGAGGGGAAGGGGAGCGATTTTTTTTCTCCATCCCAACCCAGCGCATCTATTATATTATTGTCTGATTTTTTTCTCCATCCCAACCCAGCCCAGAACTTACCGCATATCCTCTTGTGCATCTCTGTGCCCATTCTAATAGCTTCTGTTTGATGGTGGTAGCGTTCTGTACCTTCATGGTTGTTCCTCCACCACCCGCTGGTTTCGCGCCTCCACCGCCTCCAGCTCCACCAAACTTGTTGAAGAGGGCTGCTTTCCTGTTCTTGGCATCCTCAGCTTGTTTCTTCTTCAGCTCATATGCTTCCTTTTTCCTAAACAAGTGATATAGATAGACTTCTTGATTGATCAACAGTCCAGATTGGAGTGCCATGAAAACAAGAAAGCACTTCGGATACAGTTCATCATTCATACATTAGCAAGTCTAATGTTATGAAGAATGAAGAATTATTTGGTCTAATCTTAGCTATATAATTAAAAAGAAAATACATACGATGGTAATTCGGACAAAATACCTTGGGCTTACCTATCCAAGTCCTTTGGAAGTGCATAGAGATGTTTTATCAAATGTGATATGTGCTTTACAAGAACAGCATAATCATTATTATTATTATAAGACAGATATATGATCACTGTATAATCCCCAATCGCTACCTCCCACACTGATCAATTGAACTGAAAGGTAGGAATCAGGCAGGATTCAACACCAAACAAAAACCAGGTTTAACCGTATTTTACTCAAATTATTTTATACTTGAATATAATTTAGGTGCAGAAAGTTGTGGAAAGTAGGGAACAGGTAGGAATGAATTATTTGATTGATGTGAGCCTCATCATCAGTACCCTAGCTCAAAACAGAGTAATTATCTTGGAGTGCCTCAACGTGCAAAACTAAACTTCGATCTCTGACTGACTTCACAAAATTAATATCACAAACCTCTGCATCTGATTCTCCTTGAATTTGGCTTCATCTTCTTTTCTCTTCTCCTCTCTCTCCCTCTTCTTAGCCTCCATATCCTCCTCAAATTTGGTTTTAGCTGTCAGAAGGTGATAAGGAAGGAATAGAAAAGTCAAGAAGGGCATTAATGTCATTGCTGAGAAGAGTTTAACATGCATGAAAAGATTTCATCCGGACACACAGAACAGATTGGACGAGCAAAAGGGAGAAAAAAGAGGTCACAATAGATGTATTCAAAAATTGATAATAGCATTTGACAAACAGCTGAAATTTACAAAATGTATCATTAGACATAGTTGACCATAAAAATGCTTTAAACAGTTTGACAATTTTGTCTTCTTCTTCAAGTACTTCAAGAAAAAAAAATGGCCATCACCACGAATATTCAATAACAACTAGAGTGTGCATAGTTCATCTTAAATCATTCCTGCTCCTAGGAGCTAAATCAAAATGAGTGGACATTTTGTCTTGACAAGTTACATGGTGCAATACTACATGTTTGTTATTATTAATACAGAGTTAAAGGGATTTTTGAGTTCTGTTTTCAGACTGCAAATGCCTTCAAAGTGCATGGTTATTGCTCTTATTCTTATCTATGACATTTCTAGTGCCCTTTTAAAACCTAAAATTGCTATGAACGGTTAATTTTAGACCCCAAAATGTGTGAATTTAGCCGATACGATCATACCAATACAGCTCCACTTTCCAAAAAACATGGTGACCGTTAATTAATTTTTAAATTAAAAATAACAATACTTGGTCCGGCTGGTTGTGTGTAATATAAGCAACACGAAAATGCCAACAAAAAAGCTAACATCAGCATTGGCTGAAATCCGACTTAAAAGCCGTTATTTCGTTTTTTCAACGTTTTTTTCAAATTTTTCAAAATATCTAATATTTGTGGTGGTACGAAATTGTTATATTTATGGATATTTCAGCCGTCTCTGAACCAATTTTGATCAAACAAAGATGATTTTGTCATTTAAATATTATGTTCTTTCAAATTTGACACTCAGTTTTTCATTATCTCACAAAAAATTATTTTGTGTAGCGCCCTCTGCAACAGAACTCAACTATCCCTTTAAAACTAAAGTTGTCTATATTTAGCCTCAACCATTACTAGGTCTACACAATTAATTTATCATATGCACCAGCTACATTAATTGATGCAAATGTAACATTTTGAGCTCCTTTGCATGTGCACTTATTACATAAATATTAAGTGGGATGGCAATAAATAAAAACTTCCAGCTTCTACTTCTCTTTCAGTCTTTACCAATACATATTGATCTAAATTCAACATCTATCATCTCAAGCATATACACAACAAAATAATGATTATTGTGAAAGAACTATCAAGGAACAATTATGTGGATATCAAACATAAAATAATGAGCATCTCTGATTTATTACTATAATAAAGATATGCTGTTATTTGAAGCTAGATGAATTCTCCCTCTCCCTCTCCCTCTCTCTCTCTCTCTCTCTCTCTCTCTCTCTCATTTTCTCCCTTCCACTCTTGGCTTCATGAAAACTTGGCATCTTGAAGTATTACAAACAAAGTTATCATTATAAATGCATAACAAAAAGCTGAATGCAGTTTTATCATGCTCTTTATGGTTTCTTCATTTCTGTGTCTTGTTTCATTAATTTCAATTAAAACCAGGCATTAAAACACCATATTAAAAAGAACTGTTATCATTACAAGCAGTCTTGCTGCTGAAAGCATCATTCTATCATCCATAGCAACCATTTCTCCATAGCAACGCATCATCTTAGAAGCCGACATGTCAAAGAGTAACTTGCAATCACAATAACAATTGCTATTATCTTTAAGCCATTCATTATGAAGGCAAAATTAACTACCATTTTTATACTATTTCATTCAAAATACGTATGATAAGTGTTTCACTAATGGCATGAGATGAAAAATAGATCTGAGTTTAAATATAGGAGGAAAAAATAGTTATCTATAAAAGTAAAATGGAACCAAAACTGTTACTGCATACAAGATACAGTTCTATAACTTGGATACCAGATGTAGTTTTAGTATCTCTTCATATTATTAGTTTTTGTCCTCATAATCTGCATATATTCTGAATACCCCATAAAGATGGGCATCCTCCTTAAAAATGATTCATAACTATTTTTTTCTTCCAAGTGTTATCTTTATATTTCTCACAATGTCATATTCATAAATTTCCTGTTACGTTGGAATTCCCACCAGGCAAAGCTCTGTGAAACACAAATCATATTTAAACTGATTTCATGATGCAAAGCAATGATTTGTTTAACCATAGCATAATGAACTGCCCTTTTCGCATACACATGAGATGCATTTGTCATACCATTAAGCCTTTTACAATTCATTATGAATCAACATTTGGATTAAACACCAGGCAATATCTCTTCTTCTTTTACAAGTACCAAACCTGCATGTCAAAAATGTACACTTTGTATTTGAACATACTTGATGAGATATGGTAACACTCTTTTCTTTCATGCAATCTTTGTCATGAATGAGCATGGCATTGCACATTAGAGGTTAGAAAAGCCTGCTGGAAAGAAATTCCTTAGCTACATACTCTCAGTCTTTAACACAAGACTTAAAGAATCATGATTTTTTTTTTTACCATAACAAATTACAATCATGTTACAAAACCCTTTTCAATGGGACAGTACTAATTGTGACAGTCACTTTTCTAAGTGACAATATGTATTGAACAAAACTTGACAATATCTAAGTGTTTGCTAAGTATTAATAGATTTAGCACAAATTCTCCTTGATTGCTTTGAACTTTTTCAACAATTTCTTTCAAATTCCATAGGCCTGAATAGTGTGTATGAATGCTAGAGAATACTTTTCCAACACACTCTTTTTTGTCTTGTTTGAAATGTAAAACACCAACACTTATGAAAGAATGTACAAGTATACTCAGTATACTCAGAAGACATGATGCCAACATTCAGATATAATAAAGCCCAGCCCCCCCCCCCCCCCACTCAGTGTTATTTTGGTACGTGTATGCTTGTTCCCTCTCTTTGAAAGCACCCCCTCTCTCAGGACTGCCAACATTTCTGACCCCCCCCCCCCCCCCCTCCACCCTTTTGCGGGTTTTTCGGAACACTGCTCAATGTACCCCCTTATCTATGATATTCAGGATATTTTATAACCCCCTTTTAAATTTTCTTACAAGTCCAAAGAGAGAGAGAGAAAAAACGACCCTTTTCAATATTTTATTACCGGTACCCCCTTTTTTAATTGCTCAATAATCCAAAGAGAGAGAGAAAAAAAAACACCCCTTTTTTAAAGCAATCTCTGAGTGAAAAGTCAAATACACCCCCTTTTTTTACAATTCTCGGGCCGGACTTTTTCGCGTGAAAAGTACCCCTTTACCGAAGATTTTGGGAACATGAATGCGGTCCCTCTGACCCCGGAGTGGGGGAGGGAGGGGGGGGGGGGGTGGGTAACATAGTAACAATAAGACTAGATGACCTTACAATATCTAAAGATCTTCATAACAACCAGCATCATGCTTGTTGTTTAGAGTCATCTAACCATCACTAGCTTCACAACCTAGTGTGCTAAAAGCTGACTACGCCTGACTATTTTTTGAGAATCCAGTTTATATCTTCATTCAACTTGCTGGACTTGAAGCGTATAGACAGCCATTTGTGCTCTCTAAAACATTTTCAGCTGATCACAAACGATATAGAGCAGCCTCGATCTATCAGTGATCCCCAAGCTCAAAACCACCAATAAGTCAAGAAAGGGAATTTAACATTGTGTGTCTTTCTTTAAATAAAGATTTATTAGCTTCCTAAAGATATATTAACTTTCCAAGAGAATTTTAAAGAGGAGCCACTTCAATCTCACATTATCCTGGTTATTAGAAGTGATTAATGAGATGAAAAGTTTGGAATGGAAGATCGCACTGTCTCATATTCTTAAGGGCACAACTATGCAAAATAATTGATTCAACTGTTGTGCAGCCGCTCTAAAGAGAATCTAAATGATGCTAAAACTCGACCTCCCTCAGGCTCTTACTCCTATCATCTCTTTGTAGAAGATATCAATCCAAAATATGGATATAAAGATACTATGCCTTGTCATACATTGATTCATTGCCACCCTTTTGAGGGTAGGGGGTTATTTCGACTTTCTTACCGATCATAAAAGAAAGGTTATTTTTAGAAAATAAAAAATTTAGATATCTCAGTAAAATCAAGACTCCAGATGTTAAAACTTGTAATCGAAGTACCACTTTTACACCAATACAGCAATCTTATTGCTCTAACTTCAGTACTGATTTATGAAATATCAATAAACTGTTTCAAAACTTGTGACTTACTGGTGATTTTGAGCAAATGGGTTGATTTTAGAAACAAATATCCTATAACCTTTTCTCTACTATTGAAACACACAAAGAGAAGGGAATGAGGAGGTTTTACCTGATTCTGCGCTGAAAGATACTGAAAGAATGTAAATGAAGCTAGGGGTATGAGACTTCAGATCACATGACATGGCCGGAGGTCACATGATTCAATCAATTCAACAAGTGAAGAATGATCAAAATAATGAATTTCATACTATGATCTTAGTTTGGCTAATAAGTAACATCATGTGGGAGATGAATAACATTTGAGAATCAGTGGAAAAAGAAAGTTTGAAAGACGAGGGACAATATGACAAGAACAAGTAAAAGAGTGAATTCAAATTCATTTTATATGCAATGTTTGGTGATATTGAAGGAGGCTTTAAAGCTTGATTGGTAATGTAACATTCTATGAAATGTCTTTTTGAAATGATAAGTGGAATGTTTTCTTCATGAAAAAGATTATGAATCATAATACAAATGGTTTACAATAAGAATTCTAACGAGTAAACTAATCATTTATGTAATCTACATGTAGAATAAGAAAATGACTTACGTCTTCCTTTTGGTTTTTCTGTCGATGTCGTCGAAGACGACGAACTCGACACTGATTTCGACATTGTGACTGAGCTGCTACCACCAGGTCCTAGCGAAGAAAAGAATCAAAGAAAAATCCGGTCAGGAATGAGAGTGATAAATCCTTTATAAATCCAAAGAATTCTGGTCCGTTTGATGTCTTATAGCCTTGAAGTGTGGGGTCAGTTCACTATCAACAATATGATAGTTGAGTGTTGGAAGAATAGAAAGGTGGGGGGTAATTATCACATTGGTCAATCGCCACCCTTCTCGCTGGACCCAGTCACGGTCAGTGCAGATGTATGCAGATCCACGTAAGAAAGACGGCTATCAAATCTGACTTTGAAACAAAGATGGTAGGGTAGAGAGGCCTGAAGTGACGCAAACGACAGGAGGCCCTAATGACATCACATTCCTTGAACCAACTTTGGCTTGGATGGTATTGACGGTAGAAAGATGCTGGCATCCCAGATGATAACTCATTCCAGGTTGAAGATGGTGGAAGGCATCTTCTTAGAGCATTGGGAGATTGGACTCTGGGGGTCAAGGAGTTAAGTGAAGGGGGTGGGCCTGACATTGATCGCTGGGAGTGGAAGATGCGAGCCAGAAAGCTGATACCAAACAGGGGTGTATTGATACGGGTCGGGGAGATAGGAGAGGAAGGGGAGCATGAGAAGAGAGGGGGAACACTCCGGTCCTTGTAGATAATATCTTTTGAAAAATATCAACCATGTTGGCTTGCCATAAATCATATATGAGCAGGGGAACACAAGATTCTCTGCTCATCAAAATATGATTTATGATAATGGTGATAAATGACTAGCTTATTAAATTTTCACCCTCCCTCTGGCTCTACATCACCTGATCCTGTTACCCTTTCAAATACTTCACAGGTTACCCATCCTGCCTCAGCATACAGATGACAGTATGTGGGCGGCCAGTTGGCCTTGGGGTGTGGGAGGGGTGTGGGAGGGGAGGGAGGGGGTGTGGGAGTGGATGTGGGATTGGGACTACATATGGGGGCAGCTCTTACAAGATTCCCCAAAATACTGTCAAAATGGGGGCAAAAGGCAATTTCCTGGGGTAATGGGGTTAATAACGATGGGTTGGGGTAGAACGTTGTTGTAATGGATAATACATCATGGAAGACATTAATAGGAATTAATTAGACTTTACTCAGTGGGTGGGTAAGTGGAGGGGATACATAGGGATGGGGTGGGGTGATAGTATAATGCCAATTCTATTCTGAGCTCATTTCTAGCCAGCAGACAAAAGCACGTTGCTATCTAAACAGAGATTCAATTATGCCGTCTGCGTCTTCTAACGGTAATCCAATAAGACTTGTGAGAGATGCTCAATCGGGGTTAAATTTTTTCAAATGTCTACAAGCTAAAATTTGGGTTAATGTCTTAACCTTCAATGATCATATTTAACATCATTAAAATCTTTCAAAATGCATAAAGAAAGCAACTTTTACAATAACTCCTGATAAAGCTATTTCTTTCTTTCTATAAAGGCTAAACCTGCATCTTTAAATAATGATTGTATAAAGGTGTATACTGTAAAACCCAAAACCTTCACATGAATGTACTTTTTGTGACTTTCGAGAGTGGTTCCGAATTGCACCACTTTCATGTGGCAAAATAAAAGAATAAAAACAGAGACAACACTCAATTTTGTGTGAATCTTAGAAGTATTTTGTCATAAAAATCACTCTCATTCACAAATCCTGAAAGTTTCTGGTTTTACAACAATGGAGAAATTAAGGTTGAAACTATAAAAAGTTACATAATCTTTCACAAATAAGTAGTTCCAGGATTTAGGCATCTAAATATTCCTATATTTTACTATAATTTTGTTTTAGTTCAACAAAACGATACTATTAAAAGAGTGTTCCATATTTGGTAAAGTTTAAGAAAAAATATCCTCATGATCCATAATTGCCTTGCAATTTATTCATTACCTGTAAACTGGATCAACACTTTAAATCTTAAACCTGAATTCTTGAGAGGGTCATTGGATCATATGGCAAGCCCTCCCTCGCTGGCCCGTGAAATGCCAGGTGTCAAACAACATGGAATGGCGACACTGTACTACATCAAAAACCAATCAACTCTGTAATCTGTGCTTAACAGAGATACCTATGCAATCTCCATGTACATAGCTCATGAGTGATAGGTCTATTTGGTATCTTATACAATGGACCTTTGCCAATCACATTGCCATTATCATGAGCAGTTTGAGTATGTCTTTAATAAAGGGAAGCAAATCCCTCTTATTGTCCCATTATTCTATTTCTTTTGTATAAAAGAAACTGATATTGCCATATTTTACTAGAATTGCAACAAAGGGGAAATAATTTGGAAAGAACTGCAGAAGCATTAGGAAGGACAAATGTTATCATATGTTAATCTCTGGAGGTGTTCATACACCAGAGGCAATAGTTTATTCAGTCTGCAATATGGGTCTCTGCTACATAATTTAAAGAATGATGCACAAGTGTTATTTTTTACCCTCATCTTGTCAAGTACATGTAGGTTCAAAATACTTAAATGTTTACAAAGTGACATGTAACATGTAAGTGACTTACCAACTGAAATGGACTTGGACTCCTGTTGGATACTCTGTGCCTTAAATCCTTCATCTAGATGACAAACGGATAAACATACAGCATTAGTGTTTGTACAATGCATAGAATAGTGTTTTGATGATGATAATAATGATGTTGATGATGATGTTGATGATGATGATGATGATGATGATGATGATGATGATGATGATGATGATGATGAAGGTAATGATGATGATTATGATGATAATGGCAATGAAAATTGTGGTGTTGGTGGTGGTAGTGGTGGTGATGAAGATGGTGGTGATGATCATGTGTTAGGGGTGGCAATGAAAGTGATAATGATAAAGGCGGTGGTGGTAATAGCGTTGGTGGTGGTGGTAGTGGTCATGGTGGTGGAGGTGATGGAAGTGATAGAAGTGGAGGTGGTGGTGATGGTGGTCATGGTGATGATGAAGATTGTGATAATAGTGGTGGAGATGGTGGGGATTATGATGATTATAATGTTAGTGGTGATGATGATGATGATGATGATGATGATGATGAGGGTGTTGATTAAGATGATGATAAAGAAAAATAAGGAAGAAGATAATAAATGGAGAGTAAGAGGAGGAGATGGAAGGGGAGAAGGATATCAAGAGATATATAGCAAAAAAAGAAAAGGTGGAAAAAATATAAATGAAATAAGAAAGAAGGATGTGGGTAGAAAGATATTTGAAATAAATAAAACAAAGAGACAAAAATACATAAAATAAACGAAGAGTAAATTTAAAAGTAGAAAATCACCACAAAAATTAACATCACAACACATCATACATAAAACAAAAATGAACAAAGGCAGAAAAAAAGGTAATTGAAAACAAATAAAAGAAAGAAATTGTTCAACAAACATAAAATGAAAAAGATCCGTAAATTGTTATGTTGCAATCAGAAATGTTATTATCTCCCAAATTATAGAAAATCATAGAAAATAAAAAAATGAATACATGAAACAAACTTTGGCAAAGTGAAATGATAGGATAAAACTTATTAGCTAAATTCACAAAACTGTAGAGATTGAAGGTTAGAAAAATTAACTGGATGACCAAATGACAAAAGAGTAAGTTTTTTAATTAATTAATATGTAATGAATAAATGAGATTAATACTGGTGGCTGAAGTACATACAGTTTGTGATCTCCACATTTTAAATACACTATCTAACAAGTACAATTATCAATGTAAGGTGAACATGGTATTCTTTATTTCATACTGGCCCTACTACTGAAGTGTTTAAAATGATACTATTTTATTTTGTTTTAATTCTATCATAGGTTCATATCTGATGAAAACAGTATGCAAGAATGCTTTAAAATGCTCTTTTGTTGCATTAATTTGTTTCCTTTTGCATAATAAGTTGCAAGTTAAGCACTCGATGAAGACAATTCAAACTCCATAGTTTCTATTCATTCAATACAAGCAATAAATGTTACAGGCTACTTCTATTTAAGGATTTTATTCATTTCTAAAGCAAAGATATTTCATAGACTTCTGAGTGATATAATGCAGTAGTCGTTGTCAAATAATTTATTCCCTCTCCAAAATGGTAGAATATGGAAACTGTTTAAAAAATAGTTCAGAAGATTATTTCTAACTGATTAGGAAAAACTGAAATCATAGGGAACACAAAACATAGCAAGGAATTGTTAAAATTCAATAACTTAAGTTTAACAAATCAATTAAACTAACAGAAATGAAATGAATGAAATACAAAAACAAACAAGTTATTAAGTACCATACAGGGTAATGCAATTTATATAGAGTAATGTACAAAAGTGTACATCCCTTCATGAAAAACAACCAAATTATAATTTTGTTAAGAGTAAATCATTCATCCGGGCAATCTGGAACAAATGAAAAACAACAAACAAGATGATTTTAGTTTTGGGAAGGATGCATTCAGTTATGTAGAGAACACTTTTAATGTTCTGGGAAAACAAATTTTGTTATCATGGAAAATTTTAGTTGTAACAAATCAGGCATGATGACCAATCAGAACACCAAAAGGGTTGGGGATTCAAAACCGCAACAAAACAAACTAAAGAAGAGATCTGCGGAATGCAGGGATCACCTTCGGTTTTGCTCATAATGGTCATCTGTACGCTCTTGGAGTTGCCCGAATCTGTCATGGTCGTCTCTACCCTCGTTTTTGTCTTACCGTCATCTTTTGTTTCCGTCACCGTCTTGCTGCGATCGCCTGGTGTTTGGACGGTTAGTCCCACAGCCCTCATTCTCTGCTGTGCAGACTCCACCTCTAATTTGTGCATCTTCTCTTCAAAAGCCCGCTCCTGTGCTTGTGCCTTTTGCTCTCTGTCGTCTGCATGGAGGGATGATGAAAGTTGCCAATTTAATGTTTAAAAACATAACACAGTTTGCTAATGCTAATCTTCAGTTTTCAAAGTAATCGTATTTATTAGAAAGCTTCATTCCTAATATTTTGTTTCACAATACATATGCATAATAATTATTACAAATATTGTGAATTTTTAAATTCAAAGAGAGAAATTGAACAACGTAATATAATTTTCTTATTTATCAGTATTTCTCTACATATTATATTATATAATCCCAGAAATGATTTAAAAAGAGCTGCAAAAATTAAATCCCATTTGTTTGATCATCTTTGCTATAATGAGTCTTTAATACTATAACAAAATTTATCAATATTAATAGACATGATTACAAAAGTATTTTTTATGCCTATTTCCCCCCAAAACCCAAATTAAGTTTACTATTGAATACGCTTGATACGCAAAACAGCGTACATTTAGATGGAATCGACTAGGCACATATTAGTTATTGCTATGTTTGGAAAGCCTCTGGAAAGCCTCAGGTAAGATTTAGAGTCATCAAGGGGAACTTTTATTCAAGGAGTACACATATGATTTTCAAACAGGTCTATTTGGTAAAGTCTTTTGGTCTGTAATAAAACCATGACTAATTGATTAGTTAATTGGTTTGAACATTACAGGGCAGATTAATGCATAAGCCAGACACCTTCCACTATTGGGGAATAAGCATTGTGATGTAATAAATTGCTTCCACATGGCAAACCTACATGGGAGGAGCAAGTCAGAGGATAAAGAGATGATAAAGGCTTAATGTACTCACCTCTCTTCTTTTTTCTAACTTCCCTTAGCCTGGATCTGATCTTCTTCCTCTCGTCAAACTCCGTAGCCTCCTCCAACTAGTGAGATAGAACCAACAAATGAGCATCGTCAGTTCTCAACGAACACACATCGTTATTGATACCATACCTACCCCTCTAGAGGTAACTCCAGGCCTGCCTCCCCACCCCCCCTCTCGACTCTTCAACCAACTCCTCTCTCCATCTCTCACCTTAAAGTGTCAAGTCGAGGGACCCGACACTTGCGTCCGGGACCGCTTCGGTTTCACCACACCCCTAACCTGTGTGTCTGCAGAGACGGGGCGAGAAAAACGATTTGGCGCAGGTGCGCTTACGGGCCAGTAAATTTTCTTTGGTGGGACAGATGTGTTTACTCATTTCTGCTGTCGTATTATTATTATCCCATTACTTAATATAAGCTGGAAGCTATTAAAACCTGATGGAATTTTCCCACAGTATACTCCAATACTGGACATGTCGATGGTAAGGGCCTTTAATACGATGATAGCAATTAGGAACATGTGTTGATGAGCTGGTAGGAGGGCAAGGGGGTAAGAAGTGGGGTGAGGAGGTATTTGGATACCGGTATAGATAGGGGTATAGAGACAGGTAAGTATGTAACTGACTGACTGACTGTATCTTAATCCCAAGTCTCCATGTTGTTTTGAAACATTGGTGGGCGGAACACTTTCCCAGCATGATATTATGCTTCATTTAAAATTCTACCATGGCAGAGAGAGAGAGAGAGAGAGAGAAGGGGGGGGGGGCTGAGAGATTAGATTTGGTTGTGGTGGTATGCTCAGGTGTTAATTAAATCATTGCAGTAACGAGAGACATGACCTCAAGTAGATTAGTCTGTTCCTAATTCAAACTCTTTATGAAATGACAGAGGCGGCTAGAAAGTGCAATATACAAGAACTTTACGATATCATATCTTGACCCACACTGAAATACAATTGGCAAAGATGTGATGATAATTTTTCAAATCACAATATAATAACTCTTTATGAAATGACAGAGGCGGCTAGAAAGTGCAATATACAAGAACTTTACGATATCATATCTTGACCCACACTGAAATACAATTGGCAAAGATGTGATGATAATTTTTCAAATCACAATATAATACTTCAATCAATAAAAACTAAAAAGTACGTTATATCTATTTAAAAAAAATTAAAAAAAGTTTCTACACCGATAGTATGCATAGCTTCCAGTAAGGAAGATATCTCTAGTCGTCCTAATAAACTTCTGGAAGCTGGATACTTCATAAATTCTGCTGAAAGCTAGCTGCAAATACAATTCTATTCAGGAGAATCCACATACGAATAGGTTGAATCAACTCTTCAATTTCATAGGGGGGTTTCTGCACAAATATAGACTCTGCTTCTTGCATCTATATTCAAATACACGGAGTCTGACACTGTCATTTACCCCCATCCTTCTTCTTGCTCGATTGGTTTCATTTCATCTCATATCCCACCGTGAGTTTAGACATTAATCAATCCAGATCTATCATGCTGCTCCTCTCGCTATGACACCTCGAACCCAAAACACACCAAATAATAGGGAATACAGCAGCCTTTATTGATGATAAACAGATCATGGATTCTGGCTGCATTATTAAAGCTTAATTTGAGTATGTGTAAAGACAATTCATTGCTGGAAGAGTTTTTTAACAGTCTTTTTTAAGTAAAAAAGGAGATAAGTCTTTCAAAAGAAACTTACATGAAAGACATATTTCCAAAATCTTCTTCATGAACGTAAATAAAAAAATTAAAACAAGTACACAACCTGCATCCAGTGATTTCATGCTTTATTTGTATATTTTTTAAATTTAGAGAGGAGGTATGATTTGATTTTCAAGGAGTTGATATAATTTAATTTCAACCAGTCTTTTTGTAAGATCTTTTTGTGACTCAGTGTTTGCTTTTTGCATGTTTTAAATTTGGACAAACTTCTATATCGTAACATATGACAAACAGAATATAATGATGTTATACTATTAAAAAACATTTAAGATATAATTGGAAGGACAAAATGTGCCATAATTTCGATGTTAGGATGTTTAAAAGAATTTACTCACCATTTTTTCGAGGGCGGCTTCATCTTCTATCTGTTCAATGGGCGCCATGCTGACGTCTTTCAAATTTGAATTCTGTCAAAACATAAATAAAATTGAGAAGAATTAATTATATGACTACAATTATACATAAATAAAGGCACAAATGGAGTTATACAAACAACAGGAGACATATGTTATGGAAGATTACAAGATTAAAGTTAAAGGAGTTCAGGAAATAAAAGAAAGGAGCATAGGTAATAATACATGAATACAGATTCAAATGAATTGACAGGTAGAGGGATAGCTTGCTGTACAATGGAATGTTAGTCTCAATCTTCCTCTCGCTGCCCCCCCCCCCCCCCCCCTCTCTCTCTCTCTCTCTCTATCTCTCTCTTCCCTGCCATCCTTTTTTTATTCTATTTTGTCTTTCTCTCTATCTCTTTTTAACTCTATTCCATTTCCTTCTCTTCCCTCCCCTCCCACTTGATAATCATACTTATCAAGCACTCCACACAATCCTGCATTTTATAGATGATGTGGTCTAAAAACCACCAAAATAATACCATTAGGACAAGATCTTATGACAATGTCAAACAGACTGTCAAAGGCCTCAGACCTGTGAACTTCTCAACAAAAGTAAAAATGAGAACAATTAACAAATGTATTTAATGAGTCCCATTCATAAGGAGCATGAATATTCAACTAAATTCAACACCATAATTCTGAAACAAAACAAAAGTGTCCAGAAGAAATACCTTCTACTCATACTGGAGCGAATGCCTTGTCAACAGTTCCTGGCATCAGGCTTTTGAAGTAGCCCAGTAAAATGCCTTCACATACCATCTTAGATCTAATGTTCTTAATGGGGATGACGATGATGTATGAGGGCAGAGAATCAAAATGTACCACCCCTTCTCCCCCTCCTCTCCCCCTCCTATCAAACATTTAGCCAGTTGGGGATGTACTTTGACCTGATACCACAAGTATCTCTCTATAATTAAACTGGTATGAATTCAAATTTAGAAAGTGCCCAAGTGTATTTGGGAGGAGAAAGTTGAGACGTTTAAAAAGAATTACATCAATTTTGAAGGTCTAATTGTTAATCAGAACATTTCATTATCTATACTCTATATACCCTATATACTCTCTCATTTGTATAATAATGAAAAACAAAATAATAAAGCATATCAAGTGTATTATGATATAAATTATTTGACCGTTTTGTTTTTCTTTTTTGTTTGTTCGAAAATACTCAAAGGAAATCTGTAGCATCGTAAGAGGGCGACATGTATTACTTGCAAGTTTGTTCATTCAACCAGTATAAAACAATTTACAATGAAAATACAATATACAATATACAATTGTTTTATACTGGTTGAATATCAATTACTATATGCTTGTGTAAAATGTGTACATCAGTAATTTTCATCTCTCTGACATTTCTCTTTTTGTATCACTTTCTTTCTCTTGATGTCTGTCTGTGTCCATGTCCGTTGATCACGGCCACCTCCCTCCCCCCAAAAAAATATCTATCTTTCCCTCTCCTCCTTCTCTCCATACATTTTGCCCCCCCTCTCTCTCTCTCTCTCTCTCTCTCCCCCCCCCCCTTTTACCTCTGTCTGTCTCTTCCATCCCTTTTCTTTTTCTCCATCTTCCTCTCTCTCTCTCTCTCTCTCTTTCCCTCCTTCCACCTTTTCTCTCCCTCCACCTTGTTCCTCCCTTCCTTCCTTCCCTCTGTTCTCACCTTTCTTCCCTCCCACATGTCTAGAGTGTTATTAATGTGTTTCATTGACACTGGTTATCACTGCTAATTAACATGTTCAGGTCAGATAGGCCCAGCATGATATGTACAGAACAGCAGGCTAAGATCATCTAGCCTCCCCTCAAAGCTTTTTGACATGTTTCAAAACATGCTAGAGGTAATCAGCAAAAGATTGGCTAAGAGCTAGAAGGGTGTTAACTCTAAATGAGTTTAACACCCTTCTGGCTCTCAGAGGTAACAAATGACCTATCAAATATATGTCCATGTGTTCCACCATAATGATGGTACTAGTGCCATGCAGCATTAATTCATTTGATCACATCTTGATAATGATAATTAAATTAAGATCCATAACAACATGATTATGTGTGCATCCAACCTTATGTAGTTACCAAACCTAAATATCGCTTCAAATATTACTGGACTAGTTTTCAACCATTCTATCTTTGTACTTGATAGTTGATACAAACATCACTTTATGATATCAAGGTTTATGATTTATCACCAGATTATGAATTTCAAAGATGAAAAAATGTAGTCCTTTATTAAAAAAACAAATTTAAATTTAAATAAACTGTAAAAAGTGTTTCGCGATTTGTTAGAACAAAGAACGAAACACTTTTTTTAGGCCTAACTATTTAAAAGATGTCTTACAATACACCTTAGGACAAAAGTAAAACAAACTCCTTAGTACCAGAATATAATTTTTAAAGAAACTTAATATTTCTTGGAAGAAAGCAATGTACTTACATCCAGTCAACATTTTGACCACCAAATAGCAATGTCACATTGTAAACATTCAAATAAAAACCACATGGTGAAGCATAAAAAACAACAAGCATGGCCCAACAAATATTTGGCCTGTATCGCCTAGTATAGTCCCACAAGTGAGTTCTTGATGGTGGTAGGAGAGTGAAGATACTGGTCTTTTTAATACAATGACCTTAAATAGACTGATAGAGCGTCTGAAGTTAATAAGAGAGGGACAGAAACCCCAACATGGGGGGTGGTTACGCTCCATATTCATAAACCATTAAGCTTGTATGATTGAAGAGACACAATAGATGGAGTACTGCAATTATGATGCAGAAGGGAGAAAAGCGGTAATAAATAGACATTGAGAGAGAGAGGGAGAGAGAGGGAGGGAGAGATGGAAGAGAGAGAGAGAGAGAGAGAAGGGGAGGGAGAGATGGAAGAGAGAGAGAGAAAGAGGGAGAGAGGGAGAGAGAGAGGGGGAGGGAGAGATGGAAGAGAGAGAGAGAGAGAGAGAGAGAGAGAGAGAAGGGGAGGGAGAGATGGAAGAGAGAGAGAGAGAGAGAGAAGGGAGGGAGAGATGGAAGAGAGAGAGAGAGAGAGAGAGAGGGAGAGATGGAAGAGAGAGAGAGAGGGAGGGATGGAAGAGAGAGAGAGAGAGAGAGAGAGAGAGAGATGGAAGAGAGAGAGAGAGAGAGAGAGAGATGGAAGAGAGAGAGAGAGAGAGAGAGATGGAAGAGAGAGAGAGAGAGATGGAAGAGAGAGAGAGAGAGAGAGATGGAAGAGAGAGAGAGAGAGAGATGGAAGAGAGAGAGAGAGAGAGAGAGAGATGGAAGAGAGGGAAGAGAGAGAGAGAGAGAGAGAGAGAGATGGAAGAGAGAGAGAGAGAGAGAGAGAGGGGGAGAGATGGAAAGAGAGAGAGAGAGAGAGAGGGAGGAGAGAGAGAGAGGAAGAGGAAGAGAGAGAGAGAGAGAGAGAGAGAGGAAGAGAGAGAGAGAGAGAGAGAGAGAGAGGGGGAGAGATGGAAAAGAGAGAGAGAGAGAGAGAGAGGGAGGGAGAGAGAGAGAGGAAGAGGGAGAGAGAGAGAGAGAGAGAGAGAGAGGGAAGAGAGAGAGAGGGAGGGAGAGATGGAAGAGAGGGAAGAGAGGGAGAGAGAGTAGTATGCTTCTAGGCTTTTACTGATACACCCTATTTCATTTTCCAACAATTTGTTTTTAAATGTTATTACATGCACTTTGTTTCACATATTTAAGTTGATCTTTTATATGTACATTGTAAATGTTTATAACATGTTTTTAAAAGTTGTTTATACTGAATTTGAAATAAATGGATCAATCAATCAATATAGGCATTTTAGGGAAATAAAAGTGAAATGTACAAACAATGACATATAATGGGGGGGGGGGGGGTAGAAAGAGATAACATGTACAAAATGAGGACCCTTGAAGATTCTAAGACCACTATAACCCACTCCCCACATATTGCATTTTTAGGACAACTACCCCTTAGAATATTACCCGTCAGAAAAATACCGTTCAGAATCACCCCCTAAGGGATTACTCCATGCAGTCAGCTGTAAAATAAAACTACCCAAAACCCATTCTCACCAAATGCATTGTCTAACAATAAGCTGAAGACGTTTGCTTCAAACTCATAACGTACAGCTGAGCATTACATTGTTCAATATATTCACATCTTACTAAGATGAGTGATGATATGGCTGTAGTTCAGTCCAACTTCATTTAATAGGTCTATGTTTTAACATTAATGTACATGAAATGGCAGCTTCCATTTTTGAAATGCAATGATAATCAATACATCTATAATAATATTCATCAATGTATTAGGTAGCTGAGGGAATTATAGTAGCACAAAAAAAATGCATCCGGAATCCAAAAGGCATAATGGTGGTTAGTGATGTTTTTGACACTTCTCAAAGTCTAGGTAACATGAAAGAGGCAGTACTTGTATTTACCAGTTTCCTATCTTAATGATGTAGTACTACCTCTATTTTGCATTCCGGATACATCTTCTGGTGTCACTGCATTTCGCTTAACTACCTTATGTAAGCACTGATCAAAGACATTTTGAGGCACTTAACTCTATGCGTGACTGTTATATAGTCGAGACCAGCCTTAAAATGTAACATAACCTCATAGTTGCTCCTTATGTCACTATACAAAACCTCAAAGACAGTACCCTGGGGTAGTTTCCAAGAAAAGCATCCAGGCTAAAGGTTAAGAGACTAGCTAAAGTAGTTACTTGGAAAGTCACTGACACCCCATTGTATGAAGTATCCATCTGTCTCTCATCCTCTCTCTTCCCTTCTTGTACCCCCCTCTCTCTCTCTCTCTCTCTCTTCCATTTTCTCCACCCTTCTCTCAATTCATCTCTTTCTCCCCTCCCCTCCCACTATCTCTCCCTCTTCCCCCCTCTATCCACCTCCCTCTCTTTCTATCTCTTGTAGATTTCTCTAATGTTATGATTGGTGTCTAATATACCATAAGATATTTGACCATATGCTTAAAGCAAACCACTAACCTCAACTTAATATGTTTGTTTTTCTTCACTTGATTCT